ATAAAAAAATAATATATATTGGGCGCCGTGCTGGCACGAGGTCCTATATCTAGTATAATAAGAGAATTCTATGATTAATGCTACAAAATATTCTACCAGAGATTGATTTCTTATACCATTTCTTTTATTTTGATATTAGAAAACTCTTTTCTTCTATAAACCTTATTAAAAAGTAAATATTATTTTACTCTTCTTTATTTTTGATCTATATGTGATGATATGCTAATTCATCACCGATATTATAAATTTGTAAAGTTTATTATAGTGTTACACTTTACTTATGTTTTTAATTGAAGTGTATTAGAGGCCCAAAATTCATTAATAATCGAGATATTCTAAAAGTGTCACGACCCAGACCGTCGTGATTGACACCCACACTAACCCTCCGATGGAAGAACCATTACTACAATCCAAGCTAAGCAACTTAACGAAAAATTAAGGCATTTAAAGATACGAAAGTAGGTTTAAATGCTAAGGAAAAGAAATACGGAGTTTCCATAAACTCCAGCAAAAGTCTAACAACCAAAACAATGCGGAATAACACCTAGAACCTGAAAGTCAATGTACCAAAACATCTAAAGTTCAACAAGTCTAATAATATGGGTACAACCCAATTAAACATAAGAAATTCTAATGTACTAGTTTAAGTCCGGAATGGGGACATAAACGAAAAGAGAACTCGTGGCAGCCCGGAAGAACTGGCTCCCATTGAATTCGATGACGATCATTGATCTTCTAAACGAGGTCTGTCAATAGCCACCGGAAGATGCCCTGTACTCAACAAGGAAAGAGCAAGTGCAGTATCAATATCCCATTAAGTGCAACATACGTAAGCCATTACAACAATATAATAACATGCATACACCGAACATATACAATATCAATATCAATATCATTTACGAATAACGATCAAGTTCACAATTCTCAAATTACATAGTTATGTCAAGTCAATGGTCCTCTCATGGAACCCACACCCAAACTGTTAGTGTACCGATTTGTGGTACCCGATCCAATGTTTATGTCGGAACGTGGCAACCGATCTCATGTTTATGCCGAAACGTGGCAATCAATCCCAGTTAGTGTGTCGGAACACAACACCCGATCCATTCAACAAGCCACAATCACAATCACAATGTACATTCTCATAATCATACAATCAAGTCATGATTCATGGCATACAATTATTCAATCATCCTCATTTACTATTAGTGTGATCAATAATGCAACATTCGCATACATACATGCATTATAAATGAAGCAAGTACAAACATATATCACACAACATGAAATCACAACCATCACCTACCTCGAACAAAGCTTGAATCCCCTAAGAAACTTGATTCTTCCCTTTCCGAATTCTTTCCACTTGTTCTTGGTCTACCAACAATCATAATAACACGGGAATCAACAAACGATGTCTAATTACCCGGATTAAAATCAACACTATCAACCCTATATCAACCTCATGATCTTATTATCCAAATTAGTGCTTTTCCCACCATAATTTTCAGGTGAAAACCCTCCCCCATCGATAATTACCCACTAGTTTACATTCTACGGATTGAAAAACGGATTTAGGAAATTAAAACCTTACCTTTTGCCTCAAGAATGGTAAAAAAACTGTTAAGAACTCGCTTGGGGTCGTCTTCTAGCTCTCAAAGTCGAAAAGTGCAGAATAAAACGATTTTGGGGTTTATTTCCGACTTAAGTCGCGTCTGTCCCGCCTCATCGATACTCACTCCGCTACAACGGCCCCACCCTGGCGACACAAAATCCCACCGTAGCGGCTTGCACGGAACATCGAACTAAATAAAGAATTTCCAAACCCCCAATTCACAACACACCTTTATCCCATGACACTCAGAAACTACCCTCTCACGCTAAGATCGATTTCGGGAGTTCTACTCGCCTGAATTCAATTCCGTAAAGTCTTACGGGTTTCTTAACGTCTTAGCTATGTACTAATATAATCAAATTCATAATTAGATCTCCCATTTGTTACCAGATTTCCCTAGACCTCACTGACTCCGATTTCGTTCAAATCTGGACTAGGTTGAGAAATTTCAAGTTACTACCAAAATGTTTTCCAGCCCAAAAATTTTTCCCGTTGATTTTTCTATAACGACGGAAACAGATCGTTACAAAAAGATAATAAAGTAACTTTCTCCTTGTTGTAAACCTATTTTGTTTTTTTTTCTTATATATTTTTGTATTAGTGGAAATGCATAATTTGTTTCTATTTTCTAAACTTAGGAAGTTGAAGGGGACGTGCCTTTTTGTAGTGTGTAGGGCAACAATAGGATCATATATATAATAATTATTCAAAATTAAAATTTTACGTGACAAATTACTTGATGCAATCGTAATGATGATATCACAATTCTAATTAGGGTAAAGGATCAAATTTATTTTCACACAATGTGAAATGGGAGAGATTTGTCCCGCATTATAATAGTAGATGTTAAATACATATTCGTTGTTATTAGTTAAAGTTAAACTTATCTTTAAACTATGCGAAAAGGATATATTTGTCCTTATTTTTAGACGATTTTAAACCTAGGATAAATTTGAATCTTTCGTATAGTATTCAGGGGATAATCTTACCCTTTTGCATTGCCTAGTTCAATGATAAATTTGATCCTTTCTTATTATTTTGAGTTTTAAAATTATTATTTTTTGTTCCTCTTTTCTCTCTTTTCGTCACTACCTCTACCACCAATCGAGTTTTTTTAATTACAGTATTGAGTCGAGCTCAATCGAGATTGTACAGTATTAATTAGTTGTGCTGAGCCTGAATTGATTCTTTAATATTTAGTTATGTGTAGTGCTATGCTATTAAAAAAATTAAATTTATGATAAATTGATTTTAGAACATAAGGATTATTAATATAAATTGGTCCTTGCATTTAGCTTGACTGAATTATATATGACTGCTACAGAACTAAATTCAAATGACATTAACTTAATATTAAACACTAAATAGAACTTTCAAGTAAAAAATAAAAATAAAGCAACAACAAGTTTTAAAAAATTGTACAATGTTAATTTATTTGAACTTTTAAATTTAAAATATTACTTACATGTCGTTGTACCCAAAAAGTATCTTAAATAATAAAGTATATTAAAAAAATTAATTGCATTAAATTAATTAAAGAAGTACAAAATCATATATAATTATAATACATAATAATTCTTGAATTGACCCCTAACCAACTTAAATAAGATCAATGGATGAATTTTAATTTTATCATTATATGATCAAAATGAGCTAACCAAGCTTAATCGAGCTGTCTCAATGAGCTCGAGCTTTGACCGAGCTTAAATCGAGCTGAGTTGAGCCAATCGTGAGTAGGCTCGATCGACTATATGCTCAGTAAATATGTTAAATGACTTAAACATGCAATATAGAATACTATTTTAATGCATAACCACATAAATCATTCCTTCTGAAGACTATTTCCAATGTGGTTTTACCCATAGACTAGCTTTGAGAATTTTTTTATTTTTTTTTTAATTTTAAACTTTGAGAAATAATTATAGTATAGATCATGAACACTTTTCATGAAAATTCTGTCTATGTCATCAACAATTAGTGAGTAAGAATAGTTATGTTACTACTTAGGCTTTAGATGGTTAATAGCTAGGTATTCAAGTGGATCTAGAGAATTGATTACAAATTTATGTAAATTCTAATTTTTGTTCAAACTCTACATATTGTAATATTAATTTGAAATTGTCGTAAAAATACATAACTTTTAAATTCTAAATTACCCTAATTTCGGATATGTTAGTTAGCTTGTTTTTTTTAGTTTGTTAGAATCCAGATGTTCAATTAGTGGAGTTTGTTACACTTACTTTCTCATTATTTAACTTTCTTTGTTCTTTGCAGTTTTATTAATAATTTTATTTCTTTTTCAAGGGAGTTTTGTTTGTTGTGGACTAGGTTAAGGATAAGTGGCTGTTTCTGCAAATCAGAAAATATTGAAATAATGGTTACCTTTTAAAGATATGTAATCACTTTTTTTTTGGCAATGATAATTATTCGATATTTTATGACAAAAAACGAAGTAGTTTAAGACTTAGGTAGATGTGCATAATAAGGTAGATAATGTGTTAATTCTCTGTTGTTTTAATTTTCCTGGCACAGTTTAACTAGACACAAAATTTATTTTTTTTAAAAAAAAACTTTTGAAATTTATAATTTAAAATAAAATATAATAATTGTGTGACTATAATTACAAATCATCGAGCATATCCAAGAGAGCAAGAATAATGACACAAGTGATTGTTTTGTGGACGATTTTTCTTTTAACTGTGCAGGAATATGAGCAAAACACATGCATTCAAACACTCGCAAATGCTTGTTAATTGTTATAGTAGTTGTCCGTCCAGTAAGAAATTTGTGATGTTTTGCTAAGGTTAAAATAAAAAGTTTAAAATTAAGTTATTTTAAACATAGAAAGATATGATTATTTTTAGTGAAAACTAAAAATGATAGTGTGACACATAAAAATTGAACATTGAAAATACTATGAGAATTGGTTAAAATTCACTACCAATAAAAAAATTCACTTTGCCGTCCACGTATGTATTGAATCTGTTGATTAAAAACATATAATTTATGTTGTAGCTCACTTCTAGAAACAAAGGTTTTTCCATCGTAATCAGTGAAGAATTTATGTTACAGAACATAATTTTTCCATCAAACCAGCTCACTAGAAAAATACATGATAGAAAAATATATTTCATCAAAAAAAGTGAAAATCTTCCTGATTTTTTCGTATTATTATTATTTTTCTTTTCTCACTGATTCAATTCATATACCTGTCATGAGATTGTAATAATAGTTGTTGGAACATTTTCCAGTAGAAAACTAAATTAAGAAAATAATGATTTTTTAGTCGTAGATATGACGTCACCACATGAATGATGAGCAAACTTGGTTAAAATGATTAATAATTCAAGTGTAATATGTTTCCTCACATGAAACACCCAATTATGGAATTTTTTCTACCTATAAATAAGTCTCTCATTTTATGATAATTTCACAACATAGAATATTGAAATTTACAACTATGAATACCTTCAAGAGAGATAATGTTTTGTGTCACATTTTACTCTATTCTTGTTTCTTCCTTTGTGCAGGTTAATTTAATTTGTCTAATCTTTAATTTAATTCCCTTCTATCTCCATATATATATATAAAATATAAATTACATTCTCCTTCTTATTTTTTCCATTAATTATATTTATGACAATACTATATCTTTGCAGGATTTCCAGTGTATGCCATAGACTATGACTACCATTTCACTACAAAGGCATGTTTTATATTTACATTTATAATTTCCCTATCGAAAAAAAAGTATAAAAAAACAACGTGAATTATTGATATTTATGAAAAAATTGTTTGAATTAATCGATTTTTCGTGTTATATATATTTTGTAGTGTTTGGAAGAGCCTTTAAATCCACAATATAGTGGAGGAATTGCTAAAAATCCAGAAATAAATGATGGATTAAATGGATGGACATCATTTGGAAGTTCAAAAATTGAGACAAGAACATCAAAACAAGGCAATACCTTTATTGTTGCTTCACATAGAACACAACCAAATCATAGTTTTTCTCAAACAATTCATGTTGAGAAGGATACAATGTATACTATTTCAGGTACATTATTTGTTTCCCTTGTTAAGAAAATCAGTCAATTGACACCCCTTCGTTGGAAATTAGTTACAACGTAATTAACTTTTGTATATATACATACTACATGTTGAATTCACTAGGAATTTTTTTTTAATTTCATATTTTAACTCATGTTACTAAAAATTCTGGTTCTGTCACTGTTATTTTTTGTAGCATGGTTACAAGTGAGCCATGGAAAAGCTGATGTTGTAGCAATGATTAGAACACCAAATGGTGATATTCCCACAGGTTAGAGTTGTGACCCGTTATTTTACATATATTAGTCGATTTTTTATCGACCCAAGCAAAATTTGGACGAATTGAATTATGGTTCATTTTTTAATCCATTCAAATTTGACCCAATCTGCTCATTTGATGACTCTAGGTTGGGTTATTGCAAAATCTGGATGTTGGTCTATGTTGAAGGGTGGTTTTAATGGGAACTTTTCTGGCCCTGCTGAGTTATATTTTGAGGTTCAATTTATTACAATTTTATTATTATTCCATCTACTTTATATTAATGTTAAATGTTTTACATTTTTGTCTCTTTTTTTTTTTTTTTCGTTGATATTGACATTTATGGTTTTAATTTCAGAGCAAGGACATTAGTTCAGTTGAATTATGGGCAGATAGTATCTCTATTCAACCATTTACCTTGTTGGAATGGAAAGCTCATCAGGATCAAAGCATTGAGAAGGTCAATAAAATAACTTTCTTGAAATTTTATGTATATATATATATGGAGTGACGGTATAAAAAGTTGATGCTTGATCTTTATAAGATCACGTGTTCAAATCGTAGAATCAACCACTAATATTATATCCCCTTGGGGGTTCACTATACAACTACTAGAAAATCGCTCTTTAGGTCACATGTTAAAATCGTTGAATCAACCACTAAGGGGTACAAGATACACCTATTAGAAAATCGCTAATTTCTGACATAATCCATTGGGAATCCCTTAAGAATGAGTCAAATTTTGATGGGAGTTTAGTGTATCTGACTGTCGTTTTTATTAGAATTTGAAATCTTGTTATAATAAAAGTTCATTTTTTTTAATTGGGATATTATAAAAACGTAACATGCAGACTAGAAAGAGCAAGGTGAAGTTACAAGTTGTTGATCATCAAGGGCAACCAATATCCAATGCAACAATAATGATCAAACAAACAAGTTCTTCATTTCCAATTGGCAATGCTATGAGCTATCACATCTTAACCAATACAGGTTATCAAGATTGGTACAATCCAAGGTTCAAGCTAACAGTTTTCGAGAACGAAATGAAGTGGTGGGAAACTGAACCACTCCCTAACCAAGACGACTACCATTTAGCTGATGCCATGCTTCAATATGTCCAAAACCGGACCATATTACTCCGTGGACACAACATAGTTTGGGAAAATAGGGATATGTTACCTCAATGGGCAAAAGATCTACCACGTCCCTTGTTAGCAACCGCGATTGAAAGGAGATTTAACTCGTTGGTACCAAGATATCGTGACAAAGTTATACATTGGGATGTTGATAACGAAAACATGCATTTTTCGTATTTGGAGAGTCAAACAGGCGAAAATACAGTGTATTATTACAAGAAGGCTTATGATATGGATAAAGGTGCACTTTTGTTCTTGAATGAATGGGGTACAATTGAAAATCCTAATGATATTGTTGCAAGTCCAGCTAAATACTTAGCTAAAATTGAGGAATTTAGAACTTTGGGTTATAATGGACCTCTTGGAATTGGACTACAAGGACATTTTGATACTCCAACTATACCTTATATTAGAAGTGCACTTGATATACTTGCAACTGCAAATTTGCCAATTTGGATTACTGAGTTAGATGTTTCAAGCAGACCCCTTCAGGTAATAATTATTAATTAAAATCTCATCATTTTATTTTTTGAAGCTATCAAATTATATATACTATAGCCATGTATTTGATAGTACACAAAAAAAAAACTGGATTAAACTGTTGGTGGACCTGGGAATATGGGCCTAAGGTAAAGGAGTTTGATTGGAAGATCTGTGTCAAGGTATGAAAGTCGACCTTAGTGATCCGATAGAAGGGCCAATAAATGTTATCGCTAGGGATTATAACATGTGTTGATTATAGAATAAATATATATTGTCTGTGTACAGAAGTTAAACTCGTTGTGATTTTTGGAGTGCAGGCAGATTATTTGAGAGATATATTGGGGGAGCTTTATACACATCCAGGAGTACAAGGGATCATGTTTTGGTCACCATGGCAACCACAAGGATGTTTTAAAATGTGTTTAACTGATAATGATTTTAATAATTTGCCTACTGGGGATGTTGTGGATGATTTCATGAGGAGAATAAATCATCAAGGATTAATTAGCACTACTAATCATGATGGTTATGTTGAGACTTCATTATATCATGGAGATTATGAAGTCATAATTAAACATTCTGCAATTAAACATCAGTCATTTGCTCATAAAATTAATGTAGCAAAAGGCAAGGATAGTAGTACCCTAATCATGAAATTGTCTACTTAAATTTTAAGTTTTTGATGAATAAAATTGTCCCTTCATTTTCATCTTGACTTGTTTCATAATTTTACTTATTTTATTTTTTAGCATGTGTTGTTTCTTTGAATTCGATAAATAGAACTTCAGTAATCATTAAAAAGAATCGTAAACTAAAGGTGAATATATAAGCGAGTCCTTTAAAGTTTTACGATTTTTTCTTTTGATATTATTAAGACTTGTACATATTAAACAATTCTACGTCAATAACATCATCTAAAATATGTCTATTAAACCCCTCATAACTATGATATGGCAGATATGACAAATTCAAACAAAAAAAAAAAAACACTTGGCTTTTGATTCCAGCTAATAAAAAAAGAAGAAGTTTTATATTATTGCTATGAAAAGAAACTTTACTTGGTTAAGCAAAGTTACTCTCTTTTTACAAAATTTAAATAACATATGAAAAGGTTAAGAAAAAAGTGAAAAAGCATAGAATAGGCTGGCCCCTTTAATAAACTTTTATAAACAAATCTTTTTGCATGGGATTTGTTTATATAATATATACAAAACTTAAGAAGCAAGAACACAACCTTTGTACTGTACTTAAATACTCTCATTCTCCACACAAATACATCTCTCTCAATTTCAACATGGCCAAAAGACTCTATTTTCTTTTCACTCTCATAGCCATTATTTCCCTTTCTTTCTTCTCTCATTTTACCTTTTCGGATTCCTCGGTAGACGCTTTCGTCTACGGAGGATGTTCACAAATAAAATACACACCAAATTCACCATACGAATCGAATCTCAACTCCCTCTTAACATCCCTAGTAAACTCAGCAACATACTCATCGTACAACAAATTTAGTATCATGGGCTCAACGAAACAAGACATTTTATACGGGGTTTACCAATGTCGTGGCGATCTATCGATGCCCGATTGCGCCACTTGTGTAGCCAAAGCAGTGAGTTCAATTGGCAAACTTTGTTCACAAAATTGTGGTGGTGCATTGCAATTACAAGGATGTTTTGTTAAGTATGACAACACTTCATTTCTTGGTGTTGAGGACAAAACTTGTGTGTTGAATAAATGTGGGCTTTCTAATGGGCTTATTGATGGGAATTCTGTGGGCCGGGTTTTGACAAGTTTGAATGGGGCTGGTGGGCTTTTTAGAATTGGTGGGTCATTAGATGTACATGGTGTGGCCCAATGTGTTGGTGATTTGAGTATGGGCCAATGTCAAGATTGTTTATCGGAGGCGATCGGACGGTTGAAAAATGAGTGTGGCGGTGCGTCGTATGGTAATATGTTTTTGGGAAAGTGTTATGCTAGGTTTACTACGAGCGGAGATTTTGAATCCAAATCTAATCATGGTAAGAAAAATAATTAGTGATTCAACTTATATATACTGACAGATTGATAGAGTAAAGATTTTTAATGTTATTCATATAATTTCGGAAAAAATAACTAAATATACAACTTATTTTTATCATATTTTTAAAATTTCCTACCATTTGAAAAAAATTATAAAAATTCCCACTCTTTTCTATTATCGAATACATCACTTTGTATCGATCGGATACATCACTTTACGCGATGTATCGGGACGTACACAATGTAACGAGATGTTGAGTGATGTATCCGAACTCGAGACGCGATGTATCGGGACATTGAAGGATGTATCTGAAATCAGGATGCAATGCATCGGAACGTTTTGGGATGTATCTAGATTCCACCAAATTTAAGGTTTTTTTTTTTGTAATTTGAAAATGAATAGGAATATGATGTTTTTAGCTCTTAACACTATGCGATTTGTGTAAAATTTCTAATAACTTATCTATTAATAATTGCAGGTTCTCATCATTTTGAGAATGAGAAGACATTTGCACTTATCATTGGATTATTAGCTGGTGTTGCTCTTCTCATCATTTTCTTAACATTTTTAAGAAGAATATTTGGACGAAATGGTAAGAACTCACATTTTTATCATACTTTTTTCTAAAAAAATAATTATATATTTTTGAATATTATTCTCTTTTCAATTTGTAAAAGTGATGACAACAATTTATCAGCTTTCCCTTTTACCTTTTTACTTTTAGATTCTATTAAATTCATATACAATTGTTTGCTGAGTCAATCTACTAGAAAACAAGAAATTAATTAGCGATGGACAAAATTTCATAGACTAAACAAGTGAAAATCCTATGATAATCCCATTTAGTTATGAATTAGCAATGAAGTATAAGAAAATTGAATAAGCTAAAAGCTATTTAGCGACTGATCACTAGCTGAAAATTATTGAGAAATTTCATAGCTAATTTTATATTTTCTAATTTCTAATAGTAACTTCTTAGTAATGACGTTAATTGATTCTCTTTTTTTGTTTTTAACTTTTTGCAGGTAAATAAAGAATATACATACGTCAACTTGCATTCTTTATTTGAAATGAGGACTTTATGAGAGAAAGATGAATTATAGAGATGTGGACCATAAAGAAAAAAAGTTGAAAAGGGAGAAAGTCATGAACTTTAACAAAGTGACATTGTTTAGAAATTTGAATTGCATATGCTTTTGTGAAGTTTCATTTCATGTGAGACATTTGATTATTATAAAGTATATTTTTTGTTTCATATTTAAGCAATAACAAACGTAATTGAACTATATATCCTTTTTATCGTTTACGAATAATTATCCTAATCGGTAGAAGAGACGTCATATTTGAAGCTTATAGATTTGAAATTTTAATCCTTTTAAATAACTTATATATATATCGTTTATGAATAATTATCCTAACCGGTAGAAGAGACATCATATTTGAAGCTTATAGATTTGAAATTTTAATCCTTTTAAATAACACACATATATATATATATATATATATATATATATATATATATATATATATATATATATATATATATATATATTCAATGGATATTATATAAAATTTTAAACTAAAGTCATAGAATTCAACTGAATTTGTAATTGAGGCTCTAGCTTCGACCCTACTAATTTGTCTAATTGGAAACATTTTAGTTGGGAGTCATGTGTTTTGTTTTTTCTAAAAAAAATAAGAACAAGAAGAATTAGGCAAAGTTATATTCTCTTTGATGAGTTTATTCGATGTGAATTTAGATTAGTCTGGTCAAATAGTATTATTTTCTACTTCAACATTTGCTATACTTCATCTATTTTATTTTGTATGTCAATTTTTTCTTATTTTATTTGCGTAAAAGAGAATGATATTTTTAATACTTAATATCCTCTTTAATTATAATATTTACATGTTATATTTAAGATCAAAATATGATATATGATACAAATGTTTCATTTAAAATTATAAAATTATAAAATCTTTTTTATATTTTTAAATTTTGTGCCCAATTAAAAAACATAGTTAAAATAAGACGAAGAGAGTATTAAATATCTAATTTGAATTTGAACACCAAATGAATGAAAGAAAAGGTTTATTTTAGTCCACATGTAACACTTTGCTTCCCTTTGGTTTGACTATGAATCTATAATAGAAACATAATTAATAATATTGGAGTTAATATCTTAAAAAGTCACTCAAGTTTGAGAATTTATCTAATATAGTCATTAAACTTTATTTTGTATCAATAAAATCACTCAACTTTAACATTTGTATCAATAAAATCATTTAACTAAATTTAGCCTTAATTATTAATTTAATAGGATTAACACACTAAACCAACATTTTACCCGTGATATATCCCACCTAGGAGCCCTTATTTGTTGGTTATAATTTAAAGTCTTAAACCTAACCTAGCAGTGAATATTGAGCAGTTTGATAAACAAATTAGTTAGCGCTTTACACAGGAATTTTTTTTTCTTTTTTCGTAGTTATTTTTATGCTATGTATACATTTATTAATGAAGTTTAATTACAAAATTTCCACTGTGAATGAGACGTGACAGCCATAATTATTAATGTATTCGCTTAATTTAATAGGATTACCACACTAAATCAACACTTTACCCGTGATATATATCCAACCCAAGAGACCTTTATTTGTTGCTTAATTAAATGCATAATAATTAAATTCCATTAATGTATACTTGGCATAAAAAAATACTATTTTGTGATATAAAAAATAATTCAATGATAAATTTAGTTAAGTGATTTTATTTATACAAAAGTTTAAGTTGAATGATTTTTTTGATACAAAAGTGTAAGTTGAGTGATTTTATTGATACAAAACAAAGTTCAATGACTTTGCTAGATAAATTCTCAAAATTGAGTGACCTTTTGAGATATTAACTCATATATTGCTATCCAAATTATAGTCTAAACTCCATAAAATTTTCTCCAACGAAATTAGACCACAATAAAAAACGATGAAGAACTCCTCTTAAAGTCTGTAAAAGATGTGAAACTTTTTTTAAAAAACCGTACAAGATTTGAATCAAATAAAAGATATATATTATATTATGTAAGAATATTATTTGGCAATACAAAAAAAAGTTTTTAAAATCAAAAAAATCAAACATCATTAGAGAAAATCCTTTTTAGATTTTGCTAGAAGTGAAAGTTCTCTCAAACAGTGTTTCGTGAAAAATCAATTTAGAAAAAACTGTTTTTTTCTTCTTTTCAACTTAATTTTACTCTCACAACTTGTTCCAACCGTAGCTTTTGGCACAAAACATAATTGCATATAAGTTGAAATCGAACGAATAATATAATTTTTGACTTACATATCATATCAAAATTGAAATAAAAGAAAAGACAATAATTCCTTTTATCCTTTGAAATTTATTTGAATAAAACGTAAAATCAAACGAAGAGTCGAAATAGGAAAAGTTACAGAAATTCCACCTTTGAGTTTACTTATTACCATTATCCCCTATAAGTTTTACAAATTTTCAAAATCCCTCATTTTCGCGCATTAGATTAGTGTATCTCGCGCATCAGATTAATGTATCATCACTTATATTATTGTATCTCGCGCATCAGATTAGTGTATCATGTATAAAATGTACATCAGATTAGTCGATCATGTATAAAATATAATGTATCTTACTTAACGATTAATGTATCAACGCTTATATTATTGTATCCGTTTGATGGATTTCTGTAATTATAAACTTTTAAGGGATAAATTGTAATTTTACCTTAAAAGTATGTGATTTCTCTAATTTGTCCAAATAAATATTATTCTTATCTTATCAATAAAAATAAATAAAGATAGATATTAAATTTATACACTCCCCCAAAAGAAACTAATCATTATTGGAGTAATTATATTATCCTACCTTTCTCTATGTATTAACCAATTACCAATAATACAACAAATCAAAAGAGTTATAAGTCGGTGGCTTTAACACAATGGAATGGACAAATAAAATGGAGTACATGTTAGCTTTTTATGGACTAAATTAAAGTGATATTTTTCCAATTACTTACTACCATAAAGTTTACGAATCATTATGTATATTCTCTTTTCTATTGCATATATCCATGCATGAGCTTTAATGCATATATATACTTATAGACAAAGAAACATTTCGAAGTAGTGTAGAGTCAGAATTTAAAGTTTATGAATTTTGAATTTGAACTTTTTAAAGTTATTGAGCTCTAGCTAGATTAATAATCTATATATATTCAATATTTTTCAAGAGAATACAAAATTTGAATCGAATTTACGAAATTTAACTGAATATATATCTGACACTCTAGCTTCGCGCTTTCTCAATACATGAGTACTGAATCAGATGTCTAGTTGTAATTTCAATCATGGTTATAAAGCCATGTCTTTATGCTATTGTATGCTGACTAATTATTTTTATCAAAATATAAGTCACTCTTCAAAGTTGTAAAGTTTAATGGAGAGTGTCTAAGGTCCACACATTTAGGGCATGTTTGGAAGGACACCCTGGTAATTGAATTTGGTGTAATTGGTGTAATTACACTATTTTGTCCAGTTTGGAAGGACATGTAATTACTTGGTCAGCAGGTAATTGGTGTAATTGATAGGGGGTAATTAAACTCTACAATTCACAGGCAGAGACTGTGAATTGCTGGTAATTACATGGTGTAATTACCACTTGATTACTTTTTAATTTCTTTTTTTTCCTATTTTTATTTTTTTGTTTTAATTTTTTTTACTTCTATTACTTTAAGTTTTTTTTATTCATTTATTATTCTAAAAAATTGTAAACGTTTATTTTTTATTTTATATTATTATATTTCATTTTCTTCTTGTTCTCAACCTTACTTTACGTGATTCTATGTAATTTTCTCGTATTATCTATTTCTTTATGCCATGCTTATTTTCTCATTAGCATAATTTTATTAGTATTCTAATTTTTAAATTAAAATAGAATTTATTGTTAAGTAAGGTTATAGATTTACGTTTTCTTTATTAAGAAAAAATAAAAATAAATCATATTTATTGCTATGTTGAAATTTGTTATAAGAGTATTATGTTAAATTTTTTGTTTTGAATTTATAACTTATGTTATATTTTCAGTTTCATTTGTTTTAGTAATATTGAATTTACATTGCATGTCATTTTTTAATTAGACTTGATAGATTATATTTTTCTCAAACATTTAATAATTTATGACATTTTATTTATATATTATTCTTTTTATCAAACATGCACTTCACGATATTCGTAGAAACTTCATACTTTTAGTTGTTACAATCAATTCAATTGAAATATATTAATTTGAAAAAATATAAATCAATTATTTTTTCATAATATTAGTTACAAAAAATATGTTTATTAATTAATATATTTTCAAAAAAGAATATATATCTTAAATATTTAATTTAATGTCATTTATAAAGTTTCTTATTTGTCTAGTATAAATTTTAAATAATTAATTTTTATTTTTAAAATTTATTATAATTTTATAATTACAATTGTGCATCCAAACTGAACATGTGTAATTACACTATGGCATCCAAACGGGACATGTGTAATTACACTGTGGCAACCAAACAGGTCAGTGTAATTACTAGACTGGTAATTATTACCCTAGTAATTACACCAATTCCAATTACTAAGTGGCTTTCCAAACAGACCCTTAGTCAAATATTAAAGGTGAGTGACTTATTCAATTTTTCAGGAAAATATTTCCATAAAATTTTGTGGGATCCTATGACATGCATAATCAATCGTGAAGGAGTGGAAAAGGATGTATAAGAAATATTTTAGATTGAACTTAATTTTTTTTAGGATAAATTCGAGTTATCTGAATAATAATTTTTAATACTCCTTTTGTCAATTTATGTGACACTTTTCGAATTTCGAGATTCAAACAAGTTTATCTTTGACCGAATATTTTTCATATATTTTTAAATATTTTGAATTTTCAATTATTATGAATTATAGTACTTTTTACGTAGTTTATAAATGTATAAATTTCATTTCAAAAATTTTGAAGATTCCATGTGTAAATTTCCGGTCAAACTTGAACTGTTTGACTCTCGAAAAATGAAAAAGTACCACATAAATTGAGACAGAGGGAATAATAATTTAGAGGTGAAGATCCTTACTATAATTTTTGTACTATGATATTCACTATAGTTAGAATAATTATAATTATATTAATAGTTATATTGATATTTATTTTTAGTCTCAAATTTGTGTAAATACTTCCATTTTTGCTCTTCTTACTCTTATTCAACTCTAAGAGTATTTTAGTGATGGATTCTATAAGAACAGACTATCTTATTTGATCAGAATACCTAGCAATAAGCTTTTATACTTTTTGTTATTACAATATTTTTGAACAAGTTCCTGAATATTAAATATAATAAAGGTTTACTTATGATCTATTAATATATTGATAATAGTAATGATATTGATAGTTTCAATACTATAGTGATGATTTCCATTGCGTCTTTGATATGGGGCTGGAACTACTAACTGAGATGAATGAGCTAATTATGAATATTATATTATTATGAAAATAGATTGATTTTGTATCATCCTTCAAATTAGTAAAAACAATATTTCCTTGCATAATATAAATCCCAAGACATTTATGAATCGTGATGTGAATAAGTCGAATCATGATTTTGGTAGTAATTGTTGTGTTTTTCGTAGACACTAACATTAAATCAAAAGTATTTTTAGCAGCAATTAAGTAGCAATAATAGTTTAACTGTCACTAAATATGTATTTTTCGAGGTAATAACTTAATTGGGCTGCTAAATGTGTATCTTTAGAAGCCATCACTAGTGACAATTAAATTATAGTACTATTTGTAAATGCTACTAAAGCCTATAGTGACATCGTATCTAATGATAATTAACTAATGACAATAAAGAAGAATATAGCTTTTCCGATCTCACTAGGACTATACTGAGTATGTTATTGTTGAAATTCAAGGAATCATGAGCTACAATAGTACTATTTTCTTCTTTTTTTTTGATGCTAAGTAAAGATTCAGGATGGAAAAAGATGAAATCTATTACTCCCTCCGTTTCAAAAAGATTGGTCTGGTTTGACTTGGCATAAAGTTTAAGAAATTAAAGAAGACTTTTGAATCTTGTGGTCCTAAATTAAAGTTATGTCAAATGTACAAATTGCCCTTAATCTTGTGGTCTTAAACATGTCACGTGGAAAGCAAAAAGTAAAATGTTACCAAAAAAGGAAAGAGGTCATTTTTTTGAAACTGACTAAAAAGGAAAGAAGGTCATTCTTTGTGAAACGGAGGAAGTATTTTTTAATAATGTGCAGAGAAACTTTTTAAATACAAGTGAAGACCAACAACAACTCCTATTCTATAGGAGGTGTATTCCTAGTGGACTCTTAATAATGAACATGGAGTACTAAACCTATAAGTAGTAAATAACTAACTAACAACTACAACTGACTATGCACTATTACAGGGAAGATGCGCCAATACTAAGAACTGGTAGAAGTACAATGAATTAAATAACACAACTTAAAGTTCCCTAATCAATATAGTGCAAAAATTTACCCATTAATAGAGCTCATTAAAGAATTCTAACATAAACAAAAACGCACTAGGTGATTTCTTTCTATCTATCTAGCCTTGGTGGTTAGAGTTACCTGGTACATGTTATTGGTGAGAGGTGATATATAGATATCCCGTGGAATAGTCGAAGTGCTCGAAAGTTGGCCTAGAAACCACGATTATCTAAAAAGGAAAAAACTCACAAAGAAGAGCTTGTTTGGTACAAGGGTAGACTAGGTCTTAATTAGTACACAAGTTCTAGGGAAACCCATATTAGTTGAGAATTAAACATTGTAGTAAATGTGACAATGTCATCACTATCAAGCATTATGATGAGATGAAACATCACAATTTGAAAACAGCAAGCGCTACTGTTAGTTCTAAGAGCAAATAAAGAATTCGAGCAGACACAAAAACACGGTGATTTCTTTCCATCTGTCCCAGTCTTGGTGGATAGTTAATTGATACTTAATGTTGATGGGATGTGGTAGATATTCTGTGGAATTAGTTGCGCGGTAGAAAGTTGGCCTAAAAACCACAGAGAAAGAACTCACAAAAAAGAGCTTGCCTCTCCCTCTAAATGCACAAAGCTTTACACTACATAAAAAATGATCTTTAGCGGTAATAACTTAATTGCCACTAAGTATATTATTATAGAGGCAATTAACACTTTTTGTAAATGTCCTTAGCATATAGCAACATTGGGTCTAATGACAATTAACTAATATCGATAAAGGTTTTAGCACTCTTTGTTAATATACATATTTATTGCTGCTAAAAGTTATTTTTGTTATACTAGTCATAGCGTGTAGCAAGACTTTACCTCTACCTTGTCACGTAGAAAGGCTATTTCCTATACTTTTAAATACCTCTATTTAAATTTATATCTTATTCTACCAAATTTGACTTCGGTAATCAAACTGGTAAGTCTCCAACATGGAAATTAAGCTGCAGTCATAATCAGTTGATATATGTCATTGTCTCATCTTACTTACCACACTAGAATTATTAGAATTTTCCACGAACTTGTGTACCAAGACCAAGTCTAACTTTTTCTTAGAGACCAAGGTCTATAATTATTTTCGAGTAAGCGTTTTAAGGCAATCTTAATCACTAGTATATCTTCTAAAACTTGGTTGATCACTTTGCAGAAGAAAATGAAAATCAATAGGTTTCTACAATTCATTATTGCATTTTCAATGTTCATAGGACTTGAAACAAGTTGGGGTAAAACATTATGCATTGAGAAGGAAAGAGAAGCTCTTGTCCAGTTTAAGCAAGGTGTGATAGATGAGTACGATATCCTCTCATCGTGGGGAAGAGAAGAAGAGAAACAAGAATGTTGTCGTTGGAAAGGTGTAAAATGTAGCAACAAAACAGGTCATGTCGTGATGGTTGATATTCACTATATACCACAAGCTTATGGTCTAGATGTGGATCAACACTTGAAAGGTAATATTACTCCTTCATTGCTTGAATTGCAGCATTTGAAGTACTTGGACCTTAGTAACAATGATTTTGGTACAAGTCGAATACCGGATTTCATTGGTTCATTTCCAAGACTAGAATACCTTAATCTTCAAGGTGCTAACTTATCAGGTGAAATTCCTTACTCATTTAGTAACCTTACACATTTGAAGATTCTCGATTTATCTTCAAATCAAATTACAGGATTGTTTCCAAACTACTTAACAATGTTTTCAGATTTAACAGAGTTGTATTTAAGCAATAACAAATTCAAAGGGAGGTTACCTCAAAGTATTGAACAACTTTCAAAACTCGAGATATTGAGAATCAATTCAAATTCTTTCGAAGGTCCAATCACAGAAACACATCTTTCAAATCTTTCCAACTTAAAAGTGTTGGATTTGTCGTATAACTCATTCTCTCTTCAGTTGAGGCCTGATTGGATTCCTCCTTTCGAGTTACAAGTTATAGGACTCTCGCGTTGTGAAATGGGGAATCGTTTCCCTCAATGGCTACGAACTCAGAAGACGTATTCATATCTTGATATCTCTTTTGTTGGTATATCAGATATAGCTCCTAACTGGTTTTGGGATCTTTCTCCTGAAATGATGTACTTCAACATTTCTAATAACAAAATAAGCGGAGAAGTTCCTGATTTGTCTTCCAAGTTTCTACCATCGAAGGAAACTAATTATCCAATAATGGATTTTAGTTCGAATAACTTATCAGGTTTAGTCCCATCATTCTCATCAAACTTGGAAACATTGAACCTTTCGAAAAACAAGTTTGTTGGATCAATATCTTTCTTGTGCAAAATAGCCAATTCTTTGTTCCGTACCATTGACCTCTCGCATAACATGCTTTCAGGAGAACTTCCCACTGATTGTTTCAGGAATTTCGAAGAACTTGCCGTTCTTAATTTAGCTAACAACAAGCTATACGGTAAAATTCCTAGCTCTATTGGATATTTGATGGATATTCAATCTCTACAGTTGCGTAACAACAACTTTACTGGTCATCTTCCAACCTCTTTGAAAAACTGTTTTATGTTGACAATCCTGGATGTTGGTGGAAATAATTTAATTGGAGAAATTCCGTCATGGATTGGCTCAGATTTAACATTTTTGATTGTCTTGAGTTTGAGAGCCAATAAATTCGATGGAAATATACCTTCGAATTTGTGTCATCTGAATAAAATCCATATTTTGGATCTTTCTCATAACATCTTATCAGGAGAAATCCCGCATTGTCTCAACAATATCACATCATTGCTTCAGAGTAATAGTTCAACCTCAAGCATTATTTTTGATTTGGGTGAACAAAACGGAGATGGTTTTTATTCTTTCGTTGAAGAATACATGGGAGATGCATTAGTTCAATGGAAAAATAGTGAATTTGTGTACAATAAAACACTCGGATTGTTGAAGATCATCGATTTTTCAAGTAACAAATTAGTTGGAAGAGTTCCTGATGAAATCACACAATTAGATGGACTACTTTCACTAAACCTTTCACGAAACAACTTAACAGGACACATCGTACAAGGAATTGGGATGATGGAAATGTTAGAGTCTCTTGATCTGTCTCGAAATCAGTTAACAGGACGAATTCCAACAAGTCTTGCTCGATTAAATTTCCTAAGTGTTTTAGACTTATCGAGTAACAATTTGTCAGGGGAAATTCCTTCGAGCACTCAATTGCAAAGTTTTAATCCTTCGTCATATGCAGGAAACAATGAACTTTGTGGTCCACCACTCGAAAAATGCCCTGTTCATGATGATCATACAAGCAGAACCAACAATGTTGATGAAGACGATGATATGTTATTGTTGTTTGGGTTTTATGTATCTGTGTGTAGTGGATTCATTGTTGGATTTTGGGGAGTGATATTTACTTTAGTCTTCAATAAATCATGCAGAGATGCTTACTTTCATATGTTCATCAACGTCGCGAATTGGATCTTTGTCACAACAATTATGTGTCTACGCAGATTGAAGATGCTCTGGAGCTAGTTAGCAAACAACAAGCTGCATAATGTCATAAGTAAGTTTTACAAGTCTAGCTTCTTTCATAAAAAGAATTACATGTTTGTAGTCACCAATGGTGGTATATAGTATGTGATGTTTCTCATGTATAATAATAAAATGTTACTATTAATAAAAATGTTTTGGGAGCAAATACATCTAAGGTCCTAGACACTGCAACAAATAATGGGATTTCGTGGCAATAATGAATATTGATGTTTATAACCAACACTCTATATAAATGTCACTAAATTCTAAATGATTTTGAATACAATGACATTAACTCAATTGTTGCCAAATGTTTTTGTAGCAATAAATATTGTCTTTGAAAGGAAAATCTATTGTAGCAGACCTGATCCGTTCAGACATTTTCAGGTCCATTAAGAGGTTTTTTGAGAAAAGAAACAAATGGACTTAATGGGCTGAATCTGAATTAGATTCAGACCTAAAAACCAAACGCACTTAATGAACTGAATCTGAATGATTAAGATTCGGACCTCCATTAAGTGCAAACAAATGAGGGCCTCATTTGTTTTCATTAAAATTAAGACCTCTGAATCTGAATACACGTCTGAACATTAAGATTTGCATTAAGACCTAGGTTCTAAATCTGAATACACATCTGAATATTAAGATGTTGTCTCCAAATCTGAACACTGAATCAAACTATTTGTTTTCAATATCTGAATGTGCATATGAAATCAAACATTATATTAATAAAATGTTATAAAAAATTCATTTCAACAAAAAATATTGCTTTTTGATTAAAAAAATATCATAATCATCAAGCATAAGATTAAAAAATCACGAATAAAAAGTATTTTATAGGCACAATATAATATCAAAAAGTTCAATAAGTATGATAAATACTAGTTGAAAAATAATAAATAAGGTATCACATTATCAACGTCTAACATATATTTTGGCTAATTAGAAAAACTAAAGAATTCTTATCTTTTTTCTGATAACCTTAATCCAATTCTCTAACTTGTGAACCTCTAACGTCATTCATGCTTTTTTGTAGTGGACACTTTCACAAAATGTACTAACACATGTATTGTATAATGACTCTTCCCATCCAAGTCCATCTAATTTTTCCATATATTCTTCAAATGTAGGTGCACTATTTTTTTAATCAATAACTCCAGAGTAGTAATCATCTTCTCATCAATTTCCAATTTAGACGAATACGTTTTTTTTCTTCCCTAAAACTTTTTTTTCTAGCTGAAACTGAAGATTGGGATGGAGAATTATTAAGAGTTCCATTATTTTTGTCACCAACTAATTCAACAACAATAATATATTAGTGTTATCTCACAAAGGGATTTGAGTCTCAATAAAATTATTGGCCTAAGACAAAATTCTAATAAGAGACCTCCAATATGTATACATAGTTATTATTTTTAATTACGAATAGTATTTTTTTTCACTCAAAAACCTTGATGAACATCAATACACTAAAAATATTATTGCAACAAGTGTTCTTGACAAACATCAATACACTCTAAGAAAATTATTAATATAAAAAAAATACTTGTAAAGATTATGAAAACTTACCAGTTCTAGAGGTAAAAATTGGTGTTTGATTGAGAAAAGAGAGGAAGAAAGTTTGTAGTTGTGAGAGCAAAAGTCACGCAAAGACCGAGAGAGGCAATACAATATAATTGTATAACTTATTAAATAAGTCTGAATGATATTAAGACTCTACTGCATATCTGATCCGTTCAGACCTTTTCAAGTCCATTAAGAGGTTTTTTGAGAAAAGAAACAAATGGACTTAATGGGCTGAATCTGAATAATTCAGATTCAGACCTAAAAACCAAATACACTTAATGGACTGAATCTGAATGATTAAGATTCAAACCTTCATTAAGTGCAAACAAATGAGGCCTAAATGTCTCTTTTGTTGTATTGCGTAATTGTAGTAAATTATTTGCTTCACATATTTTGACGATGTTTGACCATTGATTTGATATTTGAAAAATCTAAACCAACCTCTAGCTGTTATTTTTTTTTTCATATTTGTTAATTAGTAGAATTTTGTTACCTCATTAGGATTTGTTAGTTATGACCTAAACCCCTTTATATAATTTATACTTATTTCTATTAAGATTTTTATTTTTTTATGATATAAATTTGAAAGAAAAAAAAAAGAGAATAAGTAGCCGTTGACACAAATCACAATGTTATTCACGGGACCACCTGTCAATTTGTCGAAAAAGACAGCCATCTGCATGTGTTCTTATCCTGCTGGTTAGCCCTTTCTGGTAGGGGTGGTAATGGGGGTGGGCGAATGTGGGACAGATTCAAATAATAATTTCTAAAAATTAATGTATAGTGGATGGCGTTTTATACGGGTTTAAATAAAAAGACATTAAAAAAGATAAATTCTTAAATTAATACTCACTTAAGCGTAAGAAGATATTAAAATTAGATTAAAATTATTTTTATGTATAGTTGAATTAGTTTGATTGAAAACCTAAATGCTTGTAATATTATATAGCTAAAATAAAGAATTCACAATCTGAGAGACCGTTTGAATTGGCTTTAAAAAGTACTATTTTTAAGTCAAAAAATAAAAAAATTATTTTTAAATCAAAAAATAAAATGCAGGGGGAGTCCTACTTTTAATTTTTAACTCTTTTCAAGTCATTTAAAACTTATCTAAAAAGTAACGGCTGCGTCAAACGGTAATATGACCATATTTTTATTTTATTTGTAAGTCGTAAAGTCAGTGACGATGACTTACCCCAAAAAAAAATATTAATTCTTAAGGTATGGCGTTATGAGTGTAGCAAAAATTTTCATACCCAATATAAGTTAAACTACTTAAATAAACATACATTTGTACCATATTACTAATATTACCTACACTTTCAAATAATTACCTAACATCCCACATTCCCACTATTTAAGAATTTTCAATTTTCTACAATTAAATTGAGATGCGTGTCCTTCAGGATGACTCAATTGGTTTGGAGCGTGGTCATCCATTGGATCGATCCCCCCTCAATACCTTCTGAGTCAAGCTTGTCTCTAAGATAACAATATTTTGTTAACAGAAAAAACTTACTTTCATTTATAATATATGAATGGGACTCCGGAGGAAGAGTAACCATTTCTCTATACCAATAGAATTTAGAAGCAAATGGACACAAAATAATAGAATTCATTAAGATGTTTTCTTCCATCCCCTCTCATTTGAAATTTTTGAATCTTTATCACTATTTTGAAGTAAATTTTCATGTATTTGTCAATTATATATACACATGTATTTAAGTGTAAAATTTTGAATAGGCTTCAATTATGTATCTAAGTTATATCCCACAAGTTTTGAGGTATTTGAATATTTTATGTATCTTCTTAATGAAATAATGATATTGGTCATTGCTGAAAAAGAAACTCGAAGTTTTAAAAAATAATTAAAAAGAAGAAGAAAGGTACAACTGGGTGAATTTTCTAAAAAAAATGGAAGGATTTTAATTTTTTTTTTTTTTTAACATATTGCAATGCACTAGAATATTGCAAATTAAAGTTAATGCAAACATGATTTTTTCCTAAATTTATGACTTTCAATTATATCCCTTAATTAGTTAGACTTAGTGAATATGTATTTGACTACTATGTTTCTCAGTTACATGTATCTAGAAGCGACAAATACATGTATCGGAAGTGGAAGATATGGTTTGATGTGTAATTATATAAACTAGAGGGAAGGGGGATAGTTAGGTACTAAGCTAGTGAAATTTGTGTTGTTTAACCAACTTTTGGTTTACTTTTCTAATTCTCAAATCACGAGAATTTTTTTTTCTAGGAAAAAGGTTTATATTTTAGACCAAACACAACTACGAATCACTAGCACCATTAGAATCTTGACTCTTTAGCCGTGTTTGATAGCATGCTGCAGACCGCTTATCCTCATAAAAATGTTCACTTGAATTTATATCGTCATGATAGAGGTATTAGTAGGTGTAGAAACGATCGACAATAGTGGTTGGCAATGATAGTGGGATCCTTGTGGTAATTGTGATGACATAGGTATTTGATGGTTATAATAATAGAGGTGGTTAGTGGGGATGATTGTTGGGTTATGAAGGGTGATTAGGGCGTCAAGCGAAAGCTTACAATTGCAAATAATATGATTGATAAATTAGACGACACATAAAACTATACTAAAAGATATAATATTATTATTTGATATGACCATTGGTCTACATAATTAAAAACTAATAAAAAACATAAAAACTGTAGAGAGAAAATCTCCCCATAAACAAAACTCTCTAAATAACTACATTGTGGATTCTATTGTGTTATGCTATTAGAATAGGGATCTTCAATTTATAGATCTCCAAATTTTTCCTCTAAGGAAAGAATACACCAAATATGGAAGAATATTATACTTTCCTTTCCAAAAAAGTAAAAAAACATTTATGGTAATGCTTTGTCTTTTAGGAAAATATAAATTTCAAATAAGGTACGAAAATCAGGGCAAAACCCTAACAATTCTCCCTTTTTGGCTGGATTTTCTTGACAAAACTTGATCCGTCTTCTTCACAATATGCATGATATCTTCGTTCTTCACATAGTCTTCATCACTGCTGCTTGCCATAGTTAAAAATAAAGTTTAAAATATATGGGTTAAAAATGGTTTTAAAATATTTTATTTTTATTTTCAAAGATACAGCAACAAGAATGTTGAAAATACGGTTTTAATTTTTTCTCCACAGGTAGCTGGACAAAAATCTTCTTTATCATCAAATTAGTTACAAATTGATTTGAAACCACTTGAGCTTGTCTTCAACCTCATTCAAGCATTAGATCATTGAACCGTCGGATCTTTGAACCATGTGCTTTGATACCACTTGTTGGGTTATGAAGGGTGATTAAGGCGTCATGCGAAAGCTTACAATTGCAAATAATATGGTTGATAAATTAGACGACACATAAAACTATACTAAAGGATATAATATTATTATTTGATATGACCA